AGGTAATGTTTTAAACTCCATTATTGTACCCAAATAGTATTATTAGTCAAAAAAACAAACAGTTTGAACTGAATTCAAGTGAACACATTTGTAACATGAGTGGTGGTGTGGATGAAGGAGTACTTGAGTTCATCGGCCCGGGGTTTTTTTGGGGGGGTAAATCTTACAAAAAAGGTTAGGAAGCACTGCCTAAATGAGCTCAGCGGGCTTCCATTCATACTGGCTTTGATTTGAGTTGACTCATGAGGTAAGGCAGTAAGCTGTTCTAAATCACTTACTTCCGGTATTTTTGAGAAAACTCCCAAGTCTCCTTTTTCATGTTCCTTGACCATGCTGAACCATCACTTCTGTGGTCCATGTAAAATACTTGCTTAATACCCGTACACATTTCCAGAGAGCTTTCTGCACAGTGAGGGTCTTGACATTTTCTGCATGTGCTGTCTACAGCAGTGTTATCCTAGAACACAGATTCTCTTTAAGATCTGTCTCTTCTCCACTGTTTTTGTTTGTAGCCAGCTCGACTCTCTTTCACAACGCCCGCCACACCATTAACCAAATGAGACTTAACTGTGTGTTTACAATGTTTCTTTATGGCAAAGTTCCTGTGTGGGAGTCCCACGCCGCTGACAGAGCTCTGCCCTGGAGCACAATGTCATTTACGGCAGTGTATGAGCTGGTTCTCCTCTGTGCCAGCCTACAGGCCTCCTGGTTGTATTTTTAATAGAATTCTGTGATCTCCATGTTTGATATTTAGCAATTCTCTGTTTACCATGATGCAGGTTGGTTTCATCAGGTCTGTGAGATGAAGGAGTAAATGGAGGTTGCTCTCTCACACTGCCTGAAGGCACAGTGCAGTGTTGCTGTATGTGTTTGTTTACTTTTTGCATCATCTGCGGGAAGATTTTGATTCAGTTTGTTGCAGCTGGATTTATACACGTCTGCCGCACCAGCACATCTGTATGTTATATGTCCACTGATGTCTGTATCCAGTTTGAGCTCTCATGGTGAATGTTTTTTTTAAAGATTAATTTGCTGCTGCAGCAGTTATTCATTCCAAGCATTAAACGTATTTGTTGTCCAAGTTTTGGAATATGTTTGTTAGCATATGGTAAGATAAATTAATATCCATCTTTGGCAGCGTATATAAATGTGTCTGTGTTTACATTTGGCATTTTCATTCGGCCACTGTTTGTGTGCATCTGCTTTGAGAGGCAGGGTGTTTATATCTGTATACGCCCTCTGATGTTAAAGTAATTCATCCACCATATGGGTAGATGATACAATATGGATGATTTCACCAAAAAATAATAAATGGTTTTGGTGTGTTTTGAAACATGCTCTATGTTGAACTCCAGCTACTAATAGTGCACATTGTACACTTCGCATATAAATGATAACACAGTGATTGCCAAATGAACAGGGCCAATAATTATGACAGTAATGTGGGACTTTATTAATCCCCTTTGTGAGTACTGAGTTAGATTAAGGATGATCTACCAAGGCAGATAGACACATATACAGATCTCTGTCTCTCTCCCTCTCTCTCATTCACACACAGACACACACACACACACACACACACACACACACACACACACACACACACACACACACACACACAGCCCTAATGGACATCTAAACGCAGAAGCTCTTTATCTCAAAAGGAGCACAATCATTTAGCCAGGAATATAGAGCACTACAGAGCAGTAATTAATCTGTCTGTGGTTGAATTTTAATTACATGTTAGCACTGTGCCCAGTATTGTCTTATGTGTGTGTGCTGTCAGGATTCTTATCTTACACTCTCAGTAACACACTCCTTGGCTGTAGCACAGTGACTGCAGCTCCCCACCACCTGCTGTTGTGTTAGAACAGAAAGCCAGAAAGAGACACAGACAGTTTGATCACAGTGTTGGGGAAACCACTCTCTGTTTCTGAAGACCAGGATGACTGTCATTAATTCCTATGTGTGGGGTATTTAAATGTAACTAGGACATTTGCTGCCTTTACCTTCTGATATTGTCATGTGATCTTTTGTTCAACCAAAAAAAAATAACATTTTGGGATATTCGCTTATTTGCTTACTGCCCTTTTTTGCTCAGTGCTCCAGTAGCAGTTAAACAGTAACTTTCCTGTACGTAGATTTGTACTTATGCTATGTGTATTGTATTGTATTGTATTGTAAATGAGCTAGGTAGTTTGCTATCGTTTTATGCTGCTCTGGGCTGCACTGGGGTCTCTTGGATATGGCTGTTTTATACTTTTTATACTCCAGTTACCCATAACACCCTTCTATGCGTAGCTTTCTTCAGAGAGGCAAGTTTAGCTTTAGGTGAGAAGATTCATTGCATTGTCATATCTGTCTGTTGAATATAAGGCCAGGAGATGGCTGTAGCCTCGAAACAAGTCCAAAAGGTAACAAAATCTGCCTCCTGGCACCTTTAATGCTCACTAACTTATATGTTACATCTCATTTGTTTAATGCATACGAAATCGAAAGTGTAAAAAAGACAATTCAGCATTTGTCAGTGAATTATGTGTCGGACTATTTTGGCGGAGTTTTTGGTTTCATTATTTTTCTTGTGTCAGCTCGCCCTGCCACTCTCCCTCTCAAACCCCTGTAATAACTAGTGCAAGAGAAGCTCCATTACTCACTGATAACACTAACGCTGAGTTGTGTAAAGAGGATACATATGATAGATGATAAACTATGCCTGAGCTCATGATACTGCATCTTTTCTCCTTGCTGTCAGCCTTTGACCCTGCCCAATGGCTCTACTGTCATTAGAGAGAAAGAGATCATTCATGGCCACTCTAACCTGAGCAAAGGCTACCTTTCCCTTATAGTCATTAGAGCAAAATTTCCAAAGACAACAATGAAAACAGCCTCTCATTCATCAACCGCAGCTCTCAGGTGGACGGCAGACTGGCTGAATACAATGGCAGGTAGGAAGAGCATCACAACCGCTGGCACAATACGTCTAAACCCTGAATGAGGCAAGGGAAGCAGGAAAGATGGCGCTTAATGTTAATGCATTAATGTTGTCTGCCATGAGTGCGATCAGAGTGTCACTCAGGGGTCCTCTTGAGTGGGTACTCTGCCTTGATGCTTTTCATCTAGCAGGGAGATTTATGTATGCTTTTCAGCCGTCTCTCATCTTTGTTTTGCCCAAACAGAAATCTCTGGAAATGTAATTATTGATCTGTGTGACAACCTCCTGAATGTCACGAACTCCTTCACTGTCCGTCTCTCTCTCGTCCTAATGACACTCACAGTAAACACAGATTGTCTGAAATGTTCAATAAATAATACTGTGAAGCCGTAGTTTATTAAAAGGGGTGGATAAGATCATGTAAAGTCATTACAACTATCAGTTCACCGTTGAAATAACTGGTTTTCTTTTGCAAGCGCAGTGAAAAAGATGGGCCTTGGTTGTTTAGGGTCAGTAGCTGTTTTTTTGAAACTGCTATATACTGCTGTGTGTTTGTCCCTGGTGGTTAGTTTCACTTTGTGACTGCTATTCCTCTAGTTGCTGCTAGTTTGTCATGCCATGTGTTTGTGTGATTTTCAGGACTATCTACTCATACATATTCAACACTGTTGCAGTTTAAAACAAATTGACACTGATTATACCGTCAGTGAACCCAACATAAGCTATCTGTAGGCCCAGAGCCGTTTTTCTAATTGTTTAAACCTGTATTAATTACATACATTTTTGGTGGGCTCCTTGGGGGCAGCACAAGCTGTAAACACAGCATGGACATATTATCAACCTATAAAGTTGGAGAATGGAGTATGGAGGAGGACTTCAGAGTCGGCCGATGCTTTGTATGTCTGTCATGTGCAATTGTGTGTGACTAAATACAGGTTCCTCTTCTATTATGACCGGCCTGTGTCATTGCAGCGGAAATATTATGCCAGACTCCAACAGCTGTTCAGGCAGAAACACACCGCCATCAACATTCCAGCTGGGAATACTCTGTCTCAGCGCCTTGCTTCTCTGTCATGGTTGGCAGATGGAAAATTTTGACATTGTGATGTAGAACTTACAACCTGATCTTGTTCACTGGTGCACACTGGCTCTGCTTTTCTTTTTTTTTCCAATACACTATCACATTTCTCTTCTGCCCATACCTTGCTTTTTGTAGCTGTATGTAGAGTCACAAGTCAAGATCCCAGCCACTCCTTGTCCCTTTTTTTTCCATTAGCTTAACACAGCTATCCTTGGTTGGAGCTCTGTTTGTGTGTGTGTGTGTGGCAGTTGAGTCCTACATGAACCCTTGGCATTCCAGCAGAGCAGCGTAAGTCACCATCAGGGTCGGATCAATTTCCCCCCGGCCCGGAAATAGGCCTACGAGCAGTTGAAAATCTCCGTCCTGGAGCGCTCTCTCTCCAGCACTTGTCGTTTTCTAAATGTATGGAAAATAGTTTCCGTGTGATGCCCCAGTCCAGCCTGTCAGGGCGACCAAAAGTGACATTGTCAATGGGCCAAGTGGGTCAGTCAGTGATGAGTGAAAGATGTGGGTGTCAAATGATGTGCCACAAGGGGCCGTGGGATAGGGTCACCTAACTGGCTACCGCTGCTGCTGTTACTATTGTTGTGCTGCTTGGTCCTGACCTGATATGAGGTCTTTGTCACTATGCTGCAGACAGCTCCTAATCCCCCAGCTTTCTCTCTGCTATGGCGACTGTCCCTGGGTATCAGGACCATGCATTGAGAGCAGTAATCCTGGTATTTTCCCTTCTGTGTTTATTTTTATGGCTGCTATAGAATTATACTGTTGAGTCAAACGATGGACCTCAAGCAAGAACATTTTGTTTTTATTCAAAGTATTGTATTCCAGATGTGTACCTATGGACAGTCTGCTGCTATAACAATGTTAAGATGTCAGGTTGACCTCCTCCTCCTACCTTAATTGTCTCCCTAGATTTAATAATAATACAATCAATCTAATATCAAGCTTCTTTGTGTGTTTGTTTGTCTCCTGTCTGTCTTTCAGTACCGGATTGGCCAGCTGTACATGATCAGTAAACACAGTCATGAACAGAGTGAACGTGGGGAGGGGGTGGAGGTGGTCCAGAATGAGCCGTACGAGGACCCCGAGCACGGATCAGGCCAGTTCACAGAGAAACGAATCTACCTCAACAAGTGAGTGTCTTCCTTTTGCCACATATGTTCAGTTTCATTAAATAAATTATTTATAATCTGTGTTTTATATAAAACTCAATTACAAAAGGAAAAAAACTTGTCCATATAGTCTGCTGAAGACTTTATATTCTTCACACTAATAATAATCCGATTGTATCTGTCACAAGTCACCGTCCATCAGGCTACTGCTGATAAAGCTTTCATTGAACAAAGAAAAGATGATGTCATTTTTTCGCTGCATTGCTGTCACTGACACTAACTGGCTGCAATACTTTGTGTTAAGACGAAGAATAGTCATAGGTTTAGATGTCTAATGATGTTTTCATGTCACCATCTGTAGGCTGTCTCATTAAAATAAATATCTGAGTATATAGTCGCATAAAGAAAATCATAACATGTGTATCAGGTATCATATCACATCGTACGGCTCTGCCAGCTGCAGCACTAAGAGTTGCTATTGTGTTTCACAAATAAGCAAGGGACAAATGTAGTCAGGTTTCATCTCTCTCCAGCCTTATTTTCCAGTTCAGAGCTGGCCCTGTGCTTTGTTAAACTTGATAAGCGTGAAATTGAGTAAATGCATATTTCTGTTATGTAGATTACAATTGAATTAGCTGCTGTGTGCTGTTTGAAGTATGGTCACCTCACTCTTGTGGATCGGCTCTGAATGTAAATCCTCATCACACACCTGCAACATTTCTTTTTCTGTGCAGCATCACAGCGACAAAAATATTATGCACATTTGTACATGATTGATTTGATTATGGACTTTTCATTTAAGGAAGTGAATCCAGGTGAAATTATCAGAAATGTGTAAATTCAATTTTATGTTTCTTATTGAGATATCATACTGTAGTTAGTGGTGGCATTGTACTGGACTGCATTATGTTCAAAGGTGGTTCATTTCTGGCCAGGATTTGTTTTTTAACTTAGCTTTTTCTTTGTGCATAAATCAGTGCATGACTTACTACAGCAATAATTCAGTTGGCTTATGGCCAGTCATATACACTAGGGCTATCATAGTCCGGTCAATGAGTTCAATAAATCCACACCAAACGCTTGGCAGGAGCACATATCCATCAAGTCAGCCAACTCTTATCAAAGTAATGTAATTTGAAACTATTGATTTCCATAGACCGATTGGAGCACAGGGTCAGCTGCAGTGCACTTGAGCTGGTGTGGATTCAACGTCTTGCTTGAGCGCCTGTCGGTGTGGACAACTTAACCGAGACTAGACCAAGACATCCAGTTCCAACTAAACCACTGTGTTGTGACATTATCTTTTAACCAAAATTCAAATCTAAATTTGGTTGTCTTTTCAATATAGACAAGCCTAGCACATATCTAAGTATAGGAAAGGAGGAAGTGGACTGAGGTTCTAAAAGGGGCGGGACTTATGAAGGGTCAATTACCCATCCTTACGGTACCTTTGGTGCTCTTGCCCAATTTGCTACACTCATAGTTCTTTAATGCTCAAACTTAAGACCAGTGTATGAAATGTTTCTGCAGAATTTAATTTCCATCTTCTTTTGGTGAAGATGAGTGATAAGTCAACACTGAGCAGAATTAAATACCGTTACAGGCAACTGAGCCGCTCATTCCCAAAAGTAAGAGAATAAGACAGAGATAAAGAGAGAGAGAATGGAGAATGGAGAAAGTGAGAGGCAGAGAGGCTGAGGTCCTGTGGTCAGAAGTGACAAGTAAGTGGGCCTTTGGGATATGTGAAGTGTCATTGACAAACTCAGAGGAGAGGAAGGTTTAGTGCTCTGTGTGTGTGTGTGTGTGTGTGTGTGTGTGTGTGTGTGTGTGTGTGTGTGTGTGTGTGTGTGTGTGTGTGTGTGGGCAGAGAGAGATGAGGTCAGTGTAAGTGATGGATAATTTGAGCAGTTACAGTTACTGGTGTCGGACGCCGCGCTTGCCTCTCTCCACCCACAAACCACCTGTTACCATGTTATAGCTGCAGTCTGTGTGTGTGTGTATGTGTGCGTGTGTGCGTGTGTGTGTGTGTGTGTGTGTGTGTGTGTGTGTGTGTGTGTGTGTGTGTGTGTGTGTGTGTGTGTGTGTGTGTGTGTGGGCAGAGAGAGATGAGGTGTGTAGCTTGTATTTGAGGACATGGGACCAGTCTGCTGTGTGTGGACACTCCCCTGGCTGTTTGACAGTCCATTGGAGAGAGACCAGAGGGAACCGTCTCTTGTCTCAGTGGTCCATACAGACTCTCAGTACAATCTCCACATTCAATTACAGTTTCTAAAACACAGAATAGGAAGGGAAGAGGGTGATAATGTGTGAATTAAAATAATCAATGGCTGGTTTAAAAGAGAATTATCCTGAAAGTGACATTTTGCACAACTTAATGATGTAATGTTATGTTATGCTGCTATTTGCCAGGCTTGACTGGCGATTTAGGTTGGTCTGTTTCTAATGAGACTCAAAAATAAGTCTGTACTCGCTTTTCTTTCTATTGCCAATCGTCAGGACTAATCCATTTTTGAAAGTATCAAAGTTTCAAGAGGAAAAACTGTTCTATTCACCTATGAATTCATGCATTTTATAAAATCTGTGGATTAGCAATTTTCCCTCCAGTTAACCAAGGTTTGGCCCCCGTTGTTCCCCTTCCTCAGTAATCGTTAGCATTTTGATTGGGCGCCCAATAAGGTGCTCGGCTACTCGGCAACAACTGTCAGCATTTAGAATCCATCCGCACTGAGTAATAGCTGGTTCTCTGTACTTGCCGCCCTCCATGTCTCTCTCTTTATCTATTACTGTGCAAGCTCTAGCGAAAGTCCACTGCAGGGTGTAGGGTGTAATCAGTGTAATCAGTTCCCCCAGAGGCCATCATGGCTGCCTTGTATGGCCTCCATTATGGCTCCACACAGCTGGATGCTTGTCATTGCCTTTTCTGGGTGATAGGGTGAAGGAAAAGAGTGGAGAGGACTACTTTGACCGTACAGCACACAAGCTATTTGTCTCATCAGTCCTCCATTTTTATTCTATTCTTATTCTTCTCCTTCACTTTACAAATCCATCCTCTCTTCTTTCTCTGTGTTTCAGCAAGCTGCCCAGCTGGGCCAGAGCAGTGGTCCCTAAAATTTTCTATGTGACAGAGAAGGCTTGGAACTATTACCCGTACACTATCACAGGTAACACTTTAATTACACATCCTTGTGCCTATTTTGTCTACAATGTACACTCAACCTTCATTAAATAGCCTAATGTCCCACCATTGTTATCTACAGAATATTATATTATGTAACAAAAACCATATCATTGGCTTAAATAAGTAGACAGCTTCTGTCCCTTTGAATGAGGATCTCCCTTTGTTTGATGGCTTCCTGTGTATTTGTACTAGAACAATGTACACACACACTAGGACCTCTAGTCTGCTGACAAGCTGGCAGCCATTATATGGGATCATTGGGAGGGCAAAAACATATGGAAGCAATATTCTGTCCAACACGATCCGCGATGTGTAGAGGGGTAGAGAGGGATGGAGAGACAGAGGTCAAGGGGGATGGTGGAAGTGATGGGGAGAGGACAGGCAGGTTTAACTGGAAGATAAAGAGTGAAGTGTAAGGCCAAACGTGAACACAAGTTTAAAACACCATCACAGTGTGCTTCTCGACTGTAGTTTGTGTCTGACAGTGGAATGTGTTTTGACTTAATTTGCATTAATATTTTGCTGCTGTTACATTTAAAAGGAACTATTTAATTCAAAGCACCTCACATTGAGCACAGCAGCAACATAAATATGACATGAGCCCTGCACAATATTCTTCTTATCTTCTTATTTTGTAATTGAATTGAGTAGTAATATATACAACATATAACATAGGCTGTACATACGTGTATGCACACACAAGTATCCGGGGGTCACATAATATGACCAAACCACCTTTTGACCACCAATCTAAACACACCACATGTCATAACCAAAAAAGCCAATAATCTATCAAACAAACAAACGGCCAAAACAAACAAGTATCTAAGTAATTATTTTAGTGACACCAGTCACAGCGTCAACAGTTTGTGCTATGATTACATAAGATATGACTGCACCTGTTATCTGTAGCTCTTCATATGTTAATGTGGAACACTGAAGACACTTTAAGTGGGTTTTTTTTTTTTTTTTAAATCATCATCGGGATGAAATGTCCTTCAGTTTTCAAGCTTCCACAACAAACTTGACACAAACATGATATTTGTCAATGCGCCAGACAGCTGTTTTGATGTTTTTCTTCAGTCATCCTAAATATGTTGTGCAGAGGGATTCAGTGTGATCATTACAGTCTGTCAGCAACTTCTGAAAGTGCAACTTTTATGAGAAGCAGAACTACTTTACAGTTTGTCACTTTTGACACACTTCCTTTAAAAGTAAAAAACTGTTCACAAAGTTCTCTTTACGGACAGCACAGTTGATCTCATATATAATAATGTAATAATATATAAATTCACTAATGCAGCTAAAACCCTTTATCATGATCAACTCCTCTATTATATTTTTCTCTGCCAACAGTTACTATCTGTCACTCATAACACAATGACCTGAGAACTAATAACCCGTAGTATTACTATATGTATCACTAATGTCTTTTGTAGCTTTTACTTGATTTTTGAATACAACACACCTAATAGCACCTCTTTACTCATGGATTGTACTGCTTTATATTTGTTAAAGAAATAATTTCCCTAAACTAAGGCAGTGCAATGCATGTATACACTCACTATACATACTTGTACAGGATAGTATAGCAGCTATAGATATACATCAATAAATGGCAACGTTGTGTGGTGCATTTTGGTGCCACAACCTCTGATCCATATCACACCTTATGTCCGCTCTTACTCGTCTCGTACTACAGCTGAGAAATAATCTCTTTTTGCATGCTTGATCCGTCCCTGGCAATCTTCTGCAGACATCCAGCTTTCATTGCATCGAAGAGGGACATTTTATCATGTGGCTGGTGGTCTTCCACTGTTACTGAGAAAACTCATTCCCTTTGCTCTTTTACATACATGGCATGAAATTGAAAAGCATAATAAATAATATTTCCTATTCTTTTTTTAGATATAATTTTATGTTGTGTTATGTTTTGAACATAAATGTAACTGTGTACAAATTTAATTTTTTTTAAAAAGTGAACTGAAAAAATATAGAGAAATGTGTGTTACCGATTGTAAAAAACTGTAAATCCTACAAAAAACAGGCTGAAAGGTCATAAAAATACCATCATTGCAGATAACACATTGCCAGTGTGAGCCCTGCAGCATGCAAAACAACAAGGTAGCAGCTGCGCGGGGACGTGCAGCTCTTCTGTATGTACAGTATGTCCACGTGAGAAACACATGTGACTAAATTTGCCCTCAGTAGGACCATGCACATATAAAAATAGTCACACAGATTTAAAGAAAAAAAAAATGGGACTGTGTCATCACAAGATGGGCTCCTCTCATGTGCTAAAGCTGAGACTGACGAGATATTGCTGAGGCTGATTAATGTTCCTGTTTCCATTTTGAACTAAATTATTTTTTCGTCTCTACTCTATTCTCATCTCTCTTACTGCTTCATTCCTTTGGTGTCTTCTACCTGTCTGCCCCCATCACACACCTCCCCGTCCATTATACTGATGGCCTCTGCTGGGACTATGGTCAGAGTACACGGTGAGTAGTTCCAGTGCATCTGCACCCATGCACACACAAAAACACTTGGATCCAAAAGCTGACATGTAAATCTTTGTGCTAGAGGTTAACGGTGAGCATGGCTACACATCCTGAATTTTACACTGTGTTTGTATTATCTGTGCATTAACACACTAGTGCATTGCAAATACAGTCTCTTGCAATATACCCTGTGTGTGTATGTGTGTGTGTGTGTGTGTGTGTGTGTGTGTGTATGTGTGTGTGTGTGTGTGTGTGTGTGTGTGTGTGTGTGTGTGTGTAAGACATAGAGAGAGAGATACTTGTTTGTGACATTCTGCCTATATTATTCTGACCTTTATTCATCAGATTGTGCTCAATGCAAATGAAGTCTAATCCTAACAGAAACAACATCTTGTCTCAGATTTTAGCATTTTACATGCAGTGACATTTAACAACAACCATCTTTGAAACACATGTAATTTCATATCAGTCAAAACACTGTCTGATCTGCAACCCTGATTAAATCCAAACATAATGTTTCATATTTAAGTTTTGAAAAAACTCTGAGTCTGAGTCATGGTGGCAGCAGGCTAAGCAATGTAACCTTAATGTTCTTCCTCTGGAGTCTCGAGGTATTCCCAGACCAAGTGTATTGTGCGGATGTGCCTGGAATACCTCAACAGAGAGGCATCCAGGATGAATGCTGACCAGATTCCTGACCAACTGGCTCCTTTTTATGCAAATGATCACCAGTTTCACACTCAGTTCATTCATAGAGAGTGAACCCAGACACCCTGCGATGGAATCTAATTTTGGCCGCTCTGAAATAAAATTGTTTTATTTACTATAGAGCTCCTGACCATAAATTAAATGTAAAATCGACTTCAGCTTCAGGCCCAGATCTTTCTTTATCAATTGTCGGACACACCTGCATCCCTGCTGCACCAAGCCGCCTGTCAATATCAACTAATCAAGTAAATTTCCCTTTAAAAACATTAGGAAACCCCACAGCTCTCAACAGGAATAACTGGTTAATTGACCGTCACTGAGAAAAAGCACTAATGATTTGCTCTGGGACATTAGAGGAACATTAGCCTGCCCACCTTATGTCTAAGGCAGCAAGGAAACATCAATGAAGCACAAATAAAGTCAGCAGCAGGCTGATCTTTTCCCCTGGGTCTGTACAGAAACATCTGTTAGATGGAACATCTGTGAGGAAGGTCATGCCAGTTGATGTGAAAGTAACTTTTTCTGATTTAAGATTAAGAATATGAGGGTTGTTGAAAATGAGTCTACCTTTCATGGAAAATAATGCTGTAGCTGTACAAGGACACCCACAGTATCCTCAAATCAGCAATCACCATGATTTTGATAAGAGCCTCTGACGAAACAAAGGTCCACTTATAAAGTTAAATATTTATAGTCTGTGTTGATGGTGCTTGTCGTAGTCTCACTGCCTCATGGGACTGATTAAGCTTAGGACTGTTTTGTTATGATTAGCCCAAGGTGGGTGGTGATGATGATGCAAAAGATGAGGATAACGAGCAGTGGCAATGATTTGAATCGTTATTCAACATACACCGATCAGCCATACCATCATGAGCACTGACAGGTGAAATGAATGACACTCATTATCTGGTTATCATGGCACCTGTCACTGGGTGGGATATATTAGGCAGCAAGTGAACATTTTGTCCTATAAGTTGATGTGTTAGAATCAGGAAAAATTGGCAGTGTGAGGATTTGAGCGACTTTGACAAGGGCCAAATTGTGATGGCTAGACGACTGAGTCAGAGCATCTCTAAACCTGCAGCTCTTGTGGGGTGTTCTCGGTCTGCAGTGGTCACTACCTATCAAAAGTGCTCCAAGGAAGGAGAAGCAGTGAACTGGAGACAGGGCATTGGGGGCCAAGGCTCATTGGTGCACATAGGGAGCGAAGGCTGGCCCGTGTGGTCCGATCCAACAGACGAGCTACTGTAGCTATGTTATCCATAAATATTTTTTACCAGCCATTAACCTGCATCATGTTTGCAGTTTCATATTTTAGCCAAGATCTCTGGGCTCCGGCAGTGGTCAGAAAAATGTCTCTCAAAGTGACCCCAATTTATTTCCTCCTTATTTGGTGCTTGCCAGGTTTTATTTTTGGACCCTAACTGCTTAGCATCCGTATTTTAGCATGCAGACATTAGCATTTTAGTGTTGTCATTATGAACTTGTTAACTGCTAGTGTGAATGCTGTAAAAATGCTGCAGCATGCTTTGTGAGGTTTATACTCGTGGAGAGTCCTAAACAATAAGGAATATGGTGAGGAAATGACTAAAAGGAGTCAGTGATGACGTTAAATAAAAACTCAGTCTTTTGTGAATGACATCTGCTCCAGGATGAAGGTTTATGCACACACACTTTTCTTGTCATCTCCTCACAAGGTCACTAAGACTGACTTGGCAGCACTGACTTACTGCACTGTGCATTAATTACAGTTACGATCCACACACAGCTCTCTCTCTCTCATTTTATTCTGCCTTTACACACACACACACACACACACACACACCTATGTATTCACCATGAGCTCCCAGCTTTAAGCCCTATAGCTCTTCGCTCATCCATCGTGCTGTCTCCGTCCTGTGCCACACATAAACACACACACATTCACAAACACCGGCTTGTATATCAACATCTAATGTAACCAGTATTCCACTCTTTGGTTGTATAATAATTGGAAGTGTTACATTTTAATCTAATCAAACTGTTCTGTTTAAAAGCTGATGATGAACAGCAGTCAATATGGCCAAAGGCAACAAAGTGTCTGTGTGTCCGTGTGTCTGTGTGTGTAGTGCTCATGAAGAAAGGGAGCGTGTGCAGTGCAGTTATAAATCTACACAGTGAGAGAATAATCATTATTGCTCGTCTGGTTTGGGCAATAAAACACAGACGTAGAGACACACAATAGTCTCAAATCTCATCCTGTAGATCAGTTGACAGAAATCTTCCACCTTCTTAAATTTAAGCTATGTAATTACCATCTGACAAAGTTATCCCTGTGCATATCAATTCCTCACTGTCTTGTCTTTTCTCTCCTCTCCAGTGCTCCTTCCTGCCTAAGTTTTCCATCCACATAGAGACCAAATACGAGGACAACAAAGGCAACAATGATAATGTGAGTAGAGCTCGGGGTGTCGTGTGGTTGGGAGCGTATTGTGTGGGTGGATCTCAGCAGGGTTGTTTTTTAACATATTTCCGATTGGCTTGTCTTTGAAGGACCAGTGTGTAGGATTCTTGTGGCGTTTAGCAGTGAAGTTGCAGATTGCAACCAACTGAATACCACTCGCCTTCCAAGTATGTCGCAGAAACTACAGTGGCTGCAGAAAATTGTTTGGTTTGTCCGTTCTGGGCTATTATAGAAACATGGTGGTTAAAAATGGTGGCCTGCGTAGAGGATCCGCTCCCTCTTTAGATAAAATGGCTCATTCTAAAGAAATGAAGACACAACAATTCCTAATGAAAACATACTTATGAATATTATGTTCCATTTCTGCAAATAGATCCTCCTGAATGTTACACACTGGACCTTTAAGCTTTTCAGCTCCTAATTAGAATTCTCTTTGAGGGTTGTTGCATCATTGTGCCATCCTTTAATTGTGACATTTTGCTCATAATTCAGTCTTTTTATTAAGCAAAGGACATGAAGAGGATTATTACTCATTCTAACATAGTCACAATGTTTAAGCCTTTCTGTAACATTATTATTTTTACACAAATACATTTGCCTCCGTGGTTCACAAACAAGTGACACAGTTGTGGCCTCTCATTTTCACTCACAGACAGACTATATCTTGCAATGCCACACTCCTATGAGAAAAATTGAGGTCTTTGTGGAAAGTTATGGCCATTAGCTGCAGTTCAGGCAAAGCATCAATAGACATTACCGAACCATTTATTCAGTACAGCTCAATTTGGTGGTTTTGAAATATTATTGCCAAACACGCTGGTACACAAATGTATAATAATAATAATAGAAAAAAAGATTTGAGGAAAACTACTGTATAAGAGAAAGTAAATGTTGACTTTCTCCTATGGCAACACGACAAGATACTCTTAGTTTTGTTGAGTCACAGTTAAGAAAGCACTTAGCTCGATGTCCACCTCTCCTTCAGTACCACTTAACACTTTGGTGGCAGCAGGGGAACGTCTGAAGGTTATGCAATACTGCCACGATCCATACTGTATCTGAACACATAAGGCCGCAGCTCCACTTAGTGGTGGCCCATGGGAGTTGCAAAGCCATTATGATGGTTTCACAGGCTCATAATTTCGCATTTGAAACTGAACGTAACAGGCGGGGGTGTTTTAGAGAATAGAAGTGTTGGCTCCTTCCGCTCTCAAGTTAACACGTTCCCCCACCGCCTTCACCATTTGTGCAATCTCTCTTTCTTCTTCCTCTATTCTTCTCCCTCATCTCTTTCAATCACATTTTCTCCTCTCTTTAGCCCTTTCACCCTTCCGCTACACCTGCATAAAAGTTTTAAGTGTGCAGGAAGTATGATCAACCTGTCGGTGACGCAGGAGCAGTGAAATTGTTCTGAAAGGAGCGGATAACTAGCCAACACCGCTTTTCTGTTCCTGTGTGAGTCAGACACAGGAAGAAATCACTGACCACACGGTGTGTCACTGACTGTGTGAGTCACATTCATCTTCATAGTTTATTTAGTGTATGAGGGTAAAGCCAGAAGGAAGTAATGTGCTCAACATGTCATTTGTGCTCTGTACTTTTAATTCCAACAGGACAAAAATCTCATTGTCAAACTCCCTAACCTCTTTGAACTATACCAACTAACAGGGGAAATCACAGCACATCATCCCGCAACATTTGTCAACCCCCGAAGTGCGTTATTGATTCAACTGTCCTCCTCACACATTGAACTGTTCCCTGATCCACAGATCTTTGGCAGCGAGCCCAGAGAGGAGGAAACAGAGGTGTGGTTTGTGGACATCGCCTATGATGAAATCCCCGAGCGCCACTACAAGGAGTCAGAGGTGAGGGGAGTCAAGTCGCTGACCTCAGGGCACACGCTTTCTAATTGTATACATGTACAGGAGCATAGAGTGAATGAATACACGCACACGTGGCAGAGATAAAGGAAGGCTGAAAGGAGAATGAGAGAACAGAGGGGTATGGAGATGAACAGGAGAACAAGGAGAGGAGGAGAGAAGTCAACAAATGAGAAATGAAGGCAAGGGACGGCGTGTGAGCAGATAAACAGAATAGTGTGTTATCTTTCTCGAAGCAACGCCAGCTCCTTTTTGACCACCAGCTGGCCATCTGCCTCCTCAAGAGTGATGGAAATGCATGTTTGTGTTTGGGGGCGGGGAGGTGACGGACATTAGCTGTGGTGATTTGACATTTGTATGCATGTGTGTGTGCCTGTCTTTGAGGGTGTGATGGCGATAAAAAACGGAGCTATTAATAATCAAGAGGGGTCATGATGTCACTGCAGTGGCGTTTTATTATTGACACCCACACACTCACACACACACACACACACACACACACACACACACACACACGTACACGCCTCCCACTGGGCTTTATGGTCTTCTGCTTTTATCCACTCAGAGCTAAGAATAGCACAGAGATGCCGTATGGAGCTAAAAGAGGATGCCACGTGGCCGATGTAAAAAAATCATTGGATTTTAAAGACAGATGGGTTTTGGATACACTAGAGTCACACCTGACAGTGCAGCACATAGAACATCGCACATGAATGAACCACAGTAACCAGTGTGTTCTGACACCTACCAACAGCATCAAAGCGGTTACAGCATGCGTGTGTTTGGTTTCTTTTGACCACAGATGTTCTCATTCAAATAAAAGACAATGGTCACAGACGTACTTGTTTTATACTCTGTCCAGAATCATTTAATAAATAAGAAGAAGAAGAAGAAGAAACTTTCAGACACAGAAGGTGTTAAAGCTCAAAGTGCTTCACAAATTAAGACTTTTTTAAGACTTAATTAAGACATCTATTTATTTATCATCAATGGATATCAACAGAATAGTTCCACATTTTGGTAAATATGCCTATTCATTTTATTGCCAGGAGTTAGACGAGTAGATCAGTACCGTCCTCAGTGTCTGTGTATGAAGCTACAGCCAGCAGCCAGTTAGCTTAGTTTAATACAAACACTGGTAGCAGCCATTAGCCTGGCTCTCTCCAAAGAAAACAAAATGTGCCTACAGCACCTCTAAAGCTCAGTAACTAACATTTTATATCGTGTTTGTTTAATCCGTACAAATACTGAAGTGTAAAAACAACATGTTGTGGTTTTAATGGGCTTTAGGTGCTGGACTGTTTCCTAGCTGGATGCAGACTCTTCCCGGGGCCATTCTGAGAATAGATCCTAACACTCCTAACATTTCTAGCAAGGAGTTCTAGCTCAGAGGTGATTTATGAAAACTCTCGAGGCAACTCTGAGCGAGGAAGGGACAGAATGTTTTACCTCAGTGAGGGGGTTGACTCATTATTTTAAAAGGTGTGATTGGTTGCTGAAAATGCACTAGAATGGACAGTCTCTCTATTAAGACATGGTGAAATCATGAATACTTTTTTGTATAAGGAGCATCTCTGTTGAATAAATTGTAAGCTATGTAGTTTGGGCCTACTTATCCTATTCACATTTATTTGCTTACATTTATTTTCTGGTAATTTTAGAACTCAATGTCTTTGATATTACTGGTGCTCATGAATGCCTGATGTGTGTCACAATATGAGATTGTTTGCATGATATTAAGGTAAAAATATTAATGGACACAGTGTCTTATAAGAAATATGAATTCAAAAAAGTTTTTGTTAGTATTTCTCATCTTTTCCCTCTTTGTCTGCCAAGAAACTTTGTGACACCTTTTCAGACAAATGCAACAGGCCCCCGTTTCACCTCCACTGCAAGTGCTTTCCCAGCAGGGATCTAGAGTTGAGCATCACCCCCGCACACCGTCACAGTCGGCAGACAAATGAGCACTACAGCATAATTAGTCTATAGGGAGCAGTAATTAATGCACGTAAACTTTAAGATTAGGGACTCCCACTGTGCAGCCCGGCTGTGCTCTGCAGGAAGCTCGTAATGGATACAGGTGATTGTGCCTTATAGGCAGGGAGGAGGAAATGTGTCTGTGTGTGTGAGGGAGAGAGAGATAGATGATGGAGGAGTTTTGGTATTTATTTTTCGCAGACATGTTCATGATAATATTTTTCTCCTTATTTTTCTGGTGTCTCGTGCACTTGTAGGACCTGCGGCATTTTAAGTCGAAGAAGACCAACCGAGGCCACCTGCAGGAAGGATGGATCAACAACCAGGACCCCATCATGTGCTCCTACAAACTGGTCACAGTCAAGTTTGAAGTCTGGGGCCTGCAAACACGTGTGGAGCAGTTTGTACACAAGGTCAGGATTTCTAAAAAAGTTCTATTTTTTTGTGGGGACAAGTTATAGCCTCTCAGAAATACCCTCGCCCTACTCAGTCAAACTTTTTGACCTGCGTAGATCGGTGTCCGTGCCGAAGGCGTTTTCTGCTCTGAAAACATGTGACACACAACCAGCTGGCCGTGAACTAAATCAGACGTTCCATTATCGCCTTCGATGATATCTGCCCTGTTCATATCATACAGATTGCCTTGCACCACCTCTCTTTACCTTGGCTGCACAGTTTAAACTCCTATTTCCCCAATCCATTTCACCTAGCCCTCCACAGCATCCGTCCCTAGCGGGGGAACTGTCCCTGTCTTCTCCTTGCCCGAGGCACACAAACACACACACACACACACGGTCATTACTCACGTGGTAACACCGGGAGTGACTCATATTAATCACATTCCTCCAGGGGTGAACGGAAACATTTAGAACTTAAAAATGTTTTGAAACTCTCTATCATCTTGTGGGTTAACTGATTCTGATTCACATCCTCTCTCCTTGAACTTGCCCCCTCCCCATTTCTGTCCCTCTTTACTTTCCTCTGCAATCTTTTGCTTCCTTTTCTTTCTCTGTTTTTCTCATTCTGCTTAGGTGATTCGAGATGTCCTGCTTTTAGGACACAGACAGGCCTTTGCCTGGGTGGATGAGTGGATTGGTAAGTACCTTAGAGATATCAGTGCTCATTAAACACAGGTTATTATTTAATGTGTAGAAACTGACTCATGGCAAGATTGCGGTTTCATAATGTGGCAAAGGCCTGATCCTTTTTGTTGATCATTTATTTCTAAAAAGCACTACTGTTCAAATGTTATTTGCTTTTATCCCACAAATAACAGATTGGTTTAAACAGTACAGACTATGTGATTATTAGTGGTTTATTCATGTTTTTTCTTTGTTTTGTATTGTACACAGTGCACACTATTCACGTCTTTTTGGCTTTAAACATTTATAAAGATGGCAATCTCTGGATAGAGAACTCTACAATCTTTTGTGCTGTTATTTAGCATTATATCCAGGGTGTTGTCCTCCCAAAGGCAACACAGAGGTGACTGCAGGAGTTTTCTATATCTGCAGCAAACTGCATCTTCACCTGCTACTTCACGCTTAGGTTTTTCTATAATTACATTTTTTAACACGTTGCTGTCACACTACTCAATCTGTGCATGTTGTTTTTGGTGTAGTAGCATTTTTTTTGTATTTCATGACAGTGAAGTATCTTTGAAATGAATGATCCATTAATGTAGAGTTTTCCAGTTCAACTCCACTTTCTTGATTCACCTCACATCTCCTATGAGCCATTATTATTATTTTTCAACCACTGCACTGCAGGCATAACAGATGTAACCATGTACTTAACCACAAGCACACGTACAAAACTAAGCCAAGTGATGGGTATTGGTTTTGAACCACACAGTAGGAACCTTCTCTGATCTTCAGACTCACACATGTTTGATGCTGTGCAGCTCTCTGTTTGAAGAATCCCGAGGCTTATGTCAGTTTTTACAGAGATATCAGAAAAATCAGGGTAAAATCAATGAGTGAGTGTGGAGCAGGTACTACAAAGCGAACCACCACTGAAAGGTTGTTTGCATGTTATTTAGCACCAATGTGTCTTAAGGGACTATTTTTACTGGTCAATAAGACAGAAAATATTACTGTCTGTTTAGACTCATTAACTCACGAAGACAAGTAAATGAGCAAATCCAGGTGCTTGATTTAGTACTTCCGAACCTTTATTGTCTGATATACCCACAGTGCTGACAAATGAGCTCAAGTCCCCCTTAATTATTACAGCACCACTCGTCGTGCTCCAATGTCTAAACCACTGATTCTCAAACTGTGGTACGTGTACGACTGGTGGTACATGAGCTGCCTCTAGTGGCACACTGAGAAATGTCTGTCATATTTTCTAAAAATTTAAATAAATACAAAACATATAACACTATCAAAATGCTACAAAATTTAAAATAGTGATATGTAATTTAAAATAATAATAATAATAATAATTTGTATAAATGTCAGCCAGTTGTTTTTTCATACTTTTTTAATTAACAATTTCAACTGTTTATAAATATTTTCAGCTAACAATTTCAGATGTTAATTCATCACTATTTACTATTCAACCATTTATCCTTTATTTTTAGCTACATATAATGTTTCAATCACTTTTCTTTCTTACTAACTACTTTTAAAAGCACATTGCAGTGCATGTTGTTGTGTTACTGGTTATTGTAAATAATAATAATCAGTTGTAATCAGACATCCTATGACCTGACTATGAATAGAAGAATAGACAATACACTGATAAATGCCCACAACGAACTATGTTGTGTCATATCATCACATGGCCATATCTCTATCACTGTCAATATTCCCTTTTTCTTACTTCACATGGAGGTGATTCAACAATAATTGGACTATTTTATTAAGCGCCTTCTTCTCTAGAATTAAATTATGAACCAGCTTTGTCATTCTCACAAACCTTTCACTCTTTCTGAATGTGTAATGCCTCCATCCGAACAGACATGACCATGGAGGAAGTCAGAGAGTATGAGCGTGCCACACAAGAAGCCACTAACCTGAAGATTGGCTCCTTCCCCCCCGCCATCTCCATCTCAGAGACCCCTCTGCCATGCAGCACCCGCAGTGGCCCTAACAGCGCCCCATCCACTCCCCTCTCCACAGAAGCCCCCGAGTTCCTGTCAGTGCCAAAGGAGCGTCCCAGGAAGAAGTCAGCTCCAGAGACCTTGACCCTGCCGGATCCGGGCCGCAGGGATTCAATCTTCAAGCTGCCCAGCTTTTTCTCCTGGAACTCCAGTCCGCAGCCAGAATGAGAGCGAGGCTGTGCCACTGGTGAACACCCTCGACCTGTGGATCAGTGGAGGATGCCTGCCCAGCACAGCCCACAATGCCCCCTCAGCCAGCTGAAGTGAAGGAGACACTTTTCTCTGCCCTGGTGATCCAAGCCCCTTCAGCAGACCCGCCGGTGTTACAAGCAAAGCAGACAGCTCTCAGGCTGCCTTTACAGGTACAGACAGGCAGCCCCTGATCTCCACAGCAAAAAAGCCCTGCAAGGTTGATAGGTATAGTGCTTCTCATTGAGAGTCTCACAAACGCTGGAGGCTCCTCATTCTTCTCTCCTCCTCAGACAGCCAGCACCATGCATCAGACAGCACGGAGTCCAATTAGTCAGATTGAGTGTAGCGCACATTCCTGAATACGTTTTATCCCACAGAGAATCATCTTACTTTCATCCAAGCTCAGGGTGTGTTGAGATTCAGTCACTGCACATAAACTTTATATGTACAAAATTTGTTTTTATTTTCTGTTTTACCTTTAAGCATCAGAGTCTCTGGTTTTGTTGTTGGGTCGGATTCTCGTTGGCCGCTGTATCAGTTGAGTATTATGTTTTCCACAGTCAGGTGTAAGGTGATTGTGTATTCTTGTATATACTGTATGAACATTATTTAACCGGTAAAATGTCTACAAGTACTTCAAAAAGATTATCCCATCCAGTGATGACGCTGCTATGAAATTACTCTTGTGTATTTTCATAGGGACAGGACTCTCTATCTTCTGTAAGTGTTTGTTTATTATAGTGAGTCCTGTCACCCACTGGGTCTGTAAATGACTTCTGTAATTGCATGATTTTGACTCAAGAGGATGTTTTTAAATATTTGTGAATTCAATGTTCTCTCTGTTTTCTTTATCTCGGCCTCATATTTGATGTTGTGTTTCAACTGAGTTTTTACAGACTGGTTATGCGGTTTGCATGTTGTTTTTTCTGCTTTATTCATTTCAACTGTATTCATTTTTAAGTCATACTATTGATGGGTTTTGTACACAGTAAATTAAATGAAATTCTGTTGTATCCATAATTGTGAGGCGTCTTTGTTAATACCATTTATTAGAATTGAATCAAACATACCCTCTCAAATGTTTTCTTCACACACAAAACACATTTTTATGTTAATTAAAAGACTAGTTTGAAGGGCTAACAGAGCTAACATCATAACTTCTTCCTTATATTTATCTTGAATAAAAACAGTAATCAAATTACTTTACGTCAGTGTAATGCTGTTACACATTAAAGCAGTTCAGAACAGAAGCACCATCCCTTCTGATGTACTAGAACATTTAAAACTTTTATTTTTGCACAAAAGAAGATAAGGAAGTAACAAAGCTCAAACATACTCTAATACTCATAATGCACAATCATCAGCAACAACTCACAGCAAGAAGAGAGAAGAGTGTAGGAAGGTTTCTCTCAACATCTAAGGAGAACTTCCTAGTTTGACCAAGGCACTGGATTAATCTGAAATTGATCCTGGGTGCCGTACAGTGGCTGCCAACTGCTCCTAGTACTTATGCGTGCTAACCTGCAGAGGACAAATGTCATTACACTTTATTCTATGATTGTATATGTGACAATAACGTTGATTATATTATAAAAGTGAGCCACACAATGCAACGGTGATACTGTTTTTCCAGTTCCAGGTCAATACTGGCAAATAGTCAGAATTAACTTTTACCTAATTTAAAGGTCCAGTGGAACATTTACGATGATCAATTGGGATAAATGGAATATGATGTTCATAGGTATGTTTTAATTAGTGTATAATCACCTGAATACGGGAATCATGGGGGTTTTTTACCTTAGGATGAGCAGTTTATATCTACAGATGTTTATATCCTCTTCCGTGGAATGTTGAACCGCCATGTTCCTACAGTAGCCCAGAGTGGACAAACCACACACTGGCTTCAGATAGATCAATTTCCATTATTTGCATGTTTTGCAGCCATCGTAGTTTCTCCCTCGTGGTTGAATAGGGAGAGTGAAACAGGTGAGCTGCAATCTGAAACTACACTACTAGATGACACTAAATCCTACATACCTTTAAAAAACATGGCAACATTAATCCATCTGCTGCTGTTAGTTATTCACACACATTCATGTAACTTCTTGTCCAAGCACGACACCGAACTCTTTATAAAAACTTTTATTTTAAAAATAATGACCTGAAAGTTGTAGCGTTGGACAGACACATAGGCACAACCACAGACACCTTTGAGAGTTTTACTCTTAATTAGCAGTGTATTTGGCCTATAGTCAGCAGGATGCTGTTTTACCCACCACAGTACATAATATAATAAATATTACACTCACATAAGTGTTGATGTTGATTTGTCTATACACATACGACCACACAATCAGCGCAAGCACATTTTGCTGAATACTCCTCTTCCAATTTAACAAAATGTGAGCCAACAATGGCAAGGTTATGACATGTTAATAAAAGTCAGAGTTTAAAATGTGCAAAGTTGAGTTTGAACATAAAATGATACAATGTTGTTTATCTTGTAAAAGCAAGCATCCATACACCTTAGAAACCCAGACTAAAACCTTTTTTTTAAAATCCAATGCTTATACAAGAGGTGTGACGATAACACAAAAACAAATAATATGAGGTTATGTTTTCCCATCCTTACATGTAAACACAATAGAAACCACCACCAAACATCGACCCGGTTGATAAATGTGCAAGCAAAGAACGACGCATGAGTCTATTTCCAGTGTTCCAGTGTGATTGTGCCATCATCACTTTTTTTGTTTCCTTCATTATCTTTCCTCTAAGTCTTTGGTGAGGCTTTTTGTTCTCCGTCCCTCCTTGAAGTTACGCATGGCATTGAGGAAGAACTCATACCAAAAAAGGTGAAGCCTGTTGACACTGCGGCTTTTAAAAGGCTGGGCGAGAGGCCTTTGAAGAAGCCTCGGACGCCCTCTTCTTTGGCTATTTGAACCATACAGTCCACCAGGCCTCTATAATTCCGCACCTGCACGGGAGAAACAGGAGATATATATGTATAATACTTACAAAATATGTGCTCCAAAAGCGTGAACCGTGCTGTAGAGGAGCTCACCTGTCCAAAGCGAGCTCTGGCTGCCTCAAAGCCCCCCACCTGCAGTCTCTTCTTAAAGAGGTCAAAGGGGTACGTGATTGCTTTGCTGATTATTCCAGCTCCGCTGCCACAGACCAGGCTGCTCAGGTTTCCTTGAAGGGAGACACGGGACTTCCAAATGTGAATAATTTATACGAGTGCACGTAATGTGGTGTAATAAATTCCAATGAGTTTGATCTCCACTGACCTCCAGACTTTCCAGCTGTGGGAGGTGGAGCAAACAGCTTTTTAAGGACGTTGTAGGTGAAGAACTGCAGCCCAGCATACGGAAACACTGCCGTCAGTGTTGGAGCCAGGCCGCGATAAAACGTCAGTACGCCCTCTGAACGGTACATCGTGGACACGGCATGTCGCAGGTTGCTGTACACCTGAGAGGACAGATTTTGCATAATAATACATAAAATGCATAAAAAATTATACTCCAATTGTTCAGTACTTCCCAGCAGTAAATCATTGTATCATTAGAAACCATTGTGGATTTAATTAACAGGACCTAGACCTGCAGATAAGCTGCAGATAAGCTGATAAGGATTAACCAATTAAACCTGATTAATTTATTGAGGTTTTTGGTAAATTCGACACTTGCCCATCGTGACTCAGTGAGCTTCCTGCTTCTGTCGCTAGCAGTAGCGACAGTGTTTGCAACAGGTCTGATGGTGCTCACTGAAATTGCACAAAACAAGGATTGAACAGCCTCTTGTGTGCACAGTCAACTGTCACAACAATCCTATTTTTGTTTATAGGTGATAACATCTCCAGACAGCTGCAATCACATACAAAACATTTTTTATAACTCATGATACTGCCTACGGCAAGCAATGGAGAATATTTAAGACTTTTGTTAATGAAACTTAAGACTCTTTGTTGTTCTATGTTTTTTTGTCTTTTTGAGTAAACTGAATTTAGTGCTTTTTAAGACTTTTCAACACCAGATATCCTGCAATAAGCACGAAAGTGAATCCACATTTTGATGTTTATTCAAATTTGCAACAAAATGAGACTTCTATAGACAGAATGTTTGGGTAAAGATGGGTAAAATTTAAAACTGGGGGTGCTACAGTGGGCCGTCCACTGAGGAGGCATAGGAGACAGACAACCAACATTTTTATTGCCGTCATTGGTTACTCATCTGTTTCTCCCCTACCACATCACTTTCTTTAAAAAATAAATGTAGGGGGGTTTTTAATTGACAATGACAGCTGAAGAGTGACAGGAAAGAGGGAAGAGAGAGGGGACGACACGCAGCAAGGACACGGGCTGACGGATGATTCTATAAATCAACTCATCAAATCCATGGAAAAACTAGAAGAAAAACTATGAGTTGAAAAAATTCTGTCCCATAAACTTTGTACATTTCTATCTATTATCAAGAACTGTCTGACAGCTGCAGTATATCAGCAGTGGCATGTCCCACCTTTGGTTCTCCCTGAGCTGCAAAGCGTGTCCGCAGTGTGTCCAGAGGCTGGCAGACCACTGTAGCAGAGCAAGCAGCCAAACCGCCACACACAAAGTGAACTCCTGCTGTCTGGCTGTCATATGGCGTCATGTTGTGGACCATCTCAGTCAGAAACTCAAAACTGGCAAACTGTAAAGCACACATACACAATTAAGTAAATTCAGGTAAGATCATTTTAAGACGGTTTACTTTGTGTGAGCATGCAGTTTACAGGCTCTACCTGGACAGCCCCGAAGCAGATGGAGAGGAGCTGCGCAGGGATGTGACCCTTCCAGAAAGCAGAGAGTCCCTCCTCTGAATGAATGCAGCGGGACGCCTGAAATATTCCCCAGTACTTCCCCTCCGGTCTCTGTGGGGACACACGCTCAATCTGCAGCTGTGGGGGAAAAGAGAAACTGATAAACGTACAGGAAAAAAAGCTTTTTAAATATCTACTACATGAGCATGAATCCACAGCGAGTACACAGACGCATCATTACCTGGAATCTGATTTTAAGCACATCAAGGGGGCTGATGAGGGCTCGAGTGACCATCCCAGCGGCGGACCCAGCCAGGGCTGCCTCCTCTGGGGAGAGGGCTGCATCCTGAGCCCCGGGGTCATAGCCCACCATATCTCCACAGCCTTCAGATTCCTGTTAACACTGCGGACAGGAATCATGAATAATTTATGTTTTAGAATTATGGACATATATGCAAAAGTGTTAAAGACTGTTAATGTCAGAGCGGTATCATCATGTCATAAGCTGGTCATATGTGTTTTTTAATGTAAAATCACTACAGTAAATATCTGATCAGATTAAGGGCTTACAAGATAATATGAATAACTTCATTCACTAATGTCTGTGCAGAAGTTTGTGGTACATCTCCCTCGAAGGACATTTTAGATACTGTAGTTAACCCCAAAGTATTGTCAGAGTATCAATATCTAGATACACCCGTCGAGACTAATAATACAATATAGTATTTTACAGTATTAATACTAACAACACGCATTATGAGGACAAGATAGAGTCACAACATGTAACCAGAGGACATGCAGTGGGACCTTGGGACTAGCTGAGCTAAGCTAACAACAACAGAGCATCTGTACCAAAAGCACAGGTCTGAAATATACACAAACGTAGACGGACACTTACCTTATAGTAAGTCCTTCATAAATACACCTACAGTTGAACCAAACCCCGACAGGTACAGTCCAACATTAACGTCACAAGAACGCGTACTGCACGCTAGAAGAAATGCTTCATATTACGTCCGGGTCCTCTCCCAAAGCAGAACATATCGCGGCGAGATGAATCCCTGCCTCACGCCCGACCCGCCGGAAATGACATAACCTCCACGAGCACAAGTAGCCTTCGGGATTGTTCGTGGATTCTACGAGGTGACGACAGGCAGGGGTTTATCTCGCCGTGACACTTCATCTTTGAACGTCTGCGGCGTCTAACCCGAGCGGTGTAACCAGCTTTAGATGTAAAGAACTGACGTTAAATTCAAGGTACATTTCCCGCACATTATTTTCTGAATGTGAGTAACTGATAATAACCTGGGTTTCTCTACCAACTCGATATGTAGTTAATGTTAACCCGTTCCCCTCTCTTTTGGCCAGCGGTAATGTAAAAGGTGTGTTAAGGTATACAACTTAAAGCTAACTGGAGTTAATCGTTCAGCGGTTTTCTGTACAGCCGAGCGGAGGCACACAAACTAACTAACTTAACTAATTAACTGTTAACTAGCTGTAATTCAACATTAGTTAGCGTTAGCCTTTAGTGTGTGTGTGTGTGGTGTGTGTGTGTGTGTGTGTGTGTGTGTGTGTTGTTAACAAGACAGCAAAACTGTGTTAACGCCTCATTTGTTGTCGTTAAACCAGCGATAAACTACAATATTTATATAATTAAGTTGACGTTTAGCTGACTTACGCCAGTCGTTACATGCGGACACGTGGCTAACATATTAGCATTAATGCCTCACTAATTAAAAGACTACTTTGTTCTGGGTGTTAAATCTTGTTGATTTGGGGTATCAGGTGACCTTTTGGTTGACCTGGGTTTGCCCGTGTAATCCCTCCTATCCCCCAGTGAATGAGCTGTGGGGAGCAGCCCCAGTTTGATGACAGCACAGGATTTTGTGGTTATTGTTGTCGCACAAATTGCTCTGTGGTTCATCTGTATCTGTGTGATGGATTTGTCTGCCCAGGCTTGAAGCAGAACCTCAGTCTGTGTGTGTGTGTGTGTGTGTGTGTGTGTGTGAAAAAGACTGTATTTCTTTTTTATAACATCTGTATATTTTTCACCGCTTTTAAATGCTGATCTCCACAGTTTGGTATCATCTATAATGGAAAACTCCACTGATGACTACAGGATCCAGTCTTTTGACCTGGACACACAGATGTTGCTGAAAACAGCCTTGAAAGGTCAGCATGCTATTGTACTCTTATTACTGATTTATAGGAGTTTCATCCTCCTTTTTTAAACCCCATTGCTGAAACTTAATTGATAATTGACCCCTCAGCATCCACTCTGTGAATCTCAAACAATCTTTTTGTGCATGTGTTTTTGTTTCTTTCAGACCCAAGTTCTGTGAACCTGGAGAAGGTATCCAATATCATTATGGATCAGTCTTTAAAGGACCAGGTGTTCAGCAAAGAGGCTGGCCGCATCTGCTACACCATTGTGCAGGTCCGTACTGTTTGCAGTTTGATGGGCTGGTTGCCCATCACCTTTTCACAGTACTTGTTGTCCATGTTAGTTTGTTTGATCAAGACACTGAACACCACTGAAGCAGAGGGATTTAAGAAACCAGAGCAGGACTTAAATATCTGATTGAGTCTCTTTAACCATATTAATCCTATTACCTTATTAATGCCTAACTGGTAGTTTACACTCGAGCAACAGGAGGCTCTTAAGCCTGCTTACCTACACCACTATGTTCCCTGACACGTTATCCATACTCGACTTTCTGTCTGATGTCTCCCGGTCACGTCGTGCAGGCAGAGGCCAAGCAGAGCAATGGAATTGTCTTCAGGAGGAACTTGTTGAACCGGCTCCAGCAGGAGTTCAACGACCGCGAGGAGACGAGGCAGCGCTCACTGCAGGAGTGGGTGTGCTATGTTACGTTCATCTGCAACATCTTCGACTACCTCAAAGTAAGTTTGTTTCCCATTAAGATATTTCAAACTTCGTCTTGTTATCATATTGTCTTAAAGGACCAGTGTGTAGAATTTAGTGGCATCTAGCTGTGAGATTGCAGATTGCAACCAACTGAAAAACCTCTTGACTTAAGCACAAAGGACCTATTTTAGAGGACCCGCTCCCTCTGTAGATAAAAACATCTCATTGTGAGATAATGAAAACACAATGATTTGTATATTCAGGTGATTATACACTAATGAAAACATACCTATGAATATTATATTCCATTTCTGCCAATAGATCCTCCTAAGTGTTACACACTGGACCTTTAATCATGAATACAGAGCAGCACTGTAAAATGGATCTTGAACCGCTTGACTGTATTTTCTTTTAGTGTTCGCCTTGTGATATCTTTGATTACATCTTGTGTTCAGTGTTGCAGATGCAACTTTCCCAAAACTTCCCCACAACCACTATCACTGTTCACGTCTCTGTTGCACATGTTTCTTGTATTGTGTGGTAATAAAGGTGTTTATTATGTAAGTGGTGTGAAAATGAGACAGAAAGGTGTGTCCCCGGTTTATTTTCACATCCTCAGGTTTCATCCTTAATAATGGCCATTGTCATTTTGCACAGGTCAACTCTCTCTTATTTTTCAAAAAAAAAAACTGCCTTGATTAAAGTTTTAGCCTTACACACTGTGTTTATATCTTGACATTTAGGTGAACAACATGCCAATGGTGGCCCTGGTCCATCCTGTGTTTGACTGCCTGATGAGGCTGGCCCAACCAGATGCTCTAATGAATGAGGAGGAGGTGAGAAAGAAAGTTATTTCTCCTTTTTGTTATATTCATTTTATTTCTTTAGATGTTTACTCGGCAGAATACATTTTTGCTGTGAGCTTTTCTTTATTGACTATTTCTACAGTACATCATGCATTGGAGCACATTCATATTTTTGGCATTTATACTGTGGCCCAGATCCACTTCACTCTGCAATCTTTATGTTAATAATGAACAATTTATAATGGAAAATGTGTCCAATTTTGAGTATTTAGGAGTAGCTCCTATTTCATAGGACAGTGGGTCACAGGCAACTGTACCAAAATTCCTACTTTGAGAATACACACACATTGAGAGCTTCAATGCAAGTCCATTAAAATCCATTAGAGTCCATTAAAATCCATTTTCTATTCACCAAACAAATTCTTTTTCAAATGCTTTTTTTGCCTTCATCGAGGTGGTGCCTGAGGCAGTTTCCTGACTGTATTTAAAATCCATTAAGTGATTTTATTTTATTTTTTTTAATGTGCATACGTACCAGGGTTGACTATTTGTGATGTCACACATCATGTTTGTAGGCCCCGCCCCCTGAAAAAGTACAGAAACTTTCCACTGTGAGCAGATAAATTCATTCTGCACAGTGAAGGCCAAATCTCAAACTTTGGGAACAGGAAGAAAAAAATATTTTTGGGTGGATAGGTAACATACTTAACAAAGTTTGTGTTTCACAGTCATCTTCTATTCCATCTATCTTTCACTGCTATCTCCACCTCCCTCTGCAGGTGGACTGCCTCGTGCTGCAGCTGCATCGCATCGGTGAGCAGCTGGAGAAGGTGAACGGCCAGCGGATGGACGAGCTGTTCTTCCTGCTGCGGGATGGCTTCCTGCTCCAGGAGGGCCTCACCTCCATGGCTCGTCTGCTACTGCTGGAGATCCTGGAGTTCAGGGCCGGAGGCTGGTTGCTCAGCAGCACCGCCCACAAGTACTACTACAGTGAAATTGCTGACTAGGATTGTTGCAAGGACGAGGGTGCTGAGCAGCCGTTTTGCAGGTGCGTTAGCCAACCTTTAGGCACCTTGGATACCTCTCCTCAGTCACCACTGATTATAAAACCAGCAACATCCTTCGGGAAATCAGTAGAGGGTTTTGTGAAGAGTGCGGTTCATAAACTGTAAAAAGACTTTCATTTTGCTGGATTGTTCCCTGCATTTGATAATATTACTGAAGACGTGGTGCCGTGGATGTGGAATGTGCAATAGTTCACAAGGAGTTGAAGTTCAGTTAACGAGGTTTAGCCACATTCAGGTACACTTTGTTTAAAGTTTGATTACAGCTTAAGAAAAAAAAAAAAGCTATAAAAGATATTTTTTATGTTGTTTTTATTTTTGACCTCGCAGGCATTCCTGTTTTAAGAAAACATTTCAAATTCCAACTCATTTCGACCAAATCCAAAGGGCTTGAACCAGACAGTCCAGTCAGATGCAAGCTGATTTGGTCTTTCCTTTTTTTAACCGTTGTGTGACCAACATTTTTATTTAACTGAAAATCAACATTTTACTTTTTTAGCTGAATATTTGGGTGTAGAATAGGAATTTTACAAAAGTTTTGAAAGAGAGTTCAGAGGAATGTTCGACCTAATTTGTCCCATAGGATTCCTGTATTACTGTTTCGTGGTATCCCGTTATGTGAGGCCGTTTTGTCAGATGAAGCATTGTGTCTTAATTCAGGGATCTTTCTTTTTGTTACAGCTCAACTTATAAATAAAAGACCAATAGATTGGTTACAGTTCATATTTAAACTGTGTCTCTACAGTCAGATATCATTTGTTCCACGAATTGTGCCAATATAACACGGAACAGCATCGTCCAATACAGGAGACTTGATGAGGCCTAAGTTGTTCATTTCTAGTTGAGGGTTGTGGAGGTCAGTGGTGGAAGAAGGACTCCAATAATTTACTGAAGTTAAAAGAAACGTGTTACTTTCCACCACTGCTGGTATTTTTCCTCCCTTCAGGCATATGCAGCTCAGTTATGAGTATAAAGCCAGTAGAAAAGTATTTTTCCTTTTGAATTCAGCTTCCACCAGCACTAAACACAAACACTATGTAGCTGAGCTCAGTTTTCTGTTGGAGTCTGTTGTTACCCTTGTAGTGACGGCTTTACGGTCTTCAACCAAAGCTCTGCCTTTGAATCGGACGCAAAGCATCGGACAAGATGTCATGTGGTTAAAACATTAAATCTCTTTTTGAAATGTCATTATTTTTTAAAGTTGTACCTGTAATAATATGTAAATAATTAAAACATTAATATGAAATTGGCTTTCGTAGCTGGCAGTCTGACAAATCAACCTCTGATCAATTCAGAGAAAGAATCATCAATATTAGAAGAGAATTTAATTAAAAGTGCAGCCATTTTGCATTTAAATCTCCCAAAATTCTCTTTTCTAGTTGTGTTTGAAGATTTGTGTACAGACGTTTGATATTTTTCACCACATTTAGACCAAACTAATAAAACTAATAAGAGGCTAAATAGGTTGAACTGATCCTAAAGAGCTAAATTAGGAATAACTGAGTTTGAATGCTGTAGACACAATACTGACTGCAATATATGTTTATATATTTTATTACACTGTTGCAACATTTTTACATTACTCAATTCCATTTTTTTTACGGTTGGGTTGTACATTTAATGCAAATTTATTTGTTCTAATAAAACTTGGGACGTTTTTTCATTAATTCTGTGTTTGTGTGTTAATTAACCATAAAACTGAGCACAACAGTTTCTTTTACTGAATGCAAGTTTCTCAATACAAAAAGTAATCCACGTTATTATGTTGTCCTACAGCACTTTTTAGAACGTAATCCTTCGTACCAAAGGATCTTCACGATGTTCACTATTTACAATAGTGCTCTGAAAAACAAAACATGTCACTGGAAACCATCCACGACCCTTTGTGGCCAACACAACCTTCGTCTGGTCTGAAGAAACATCGGAGTGGCGTTTCAGTCCTGATGGGTTTCTCTCTACCACCAGCGGTAGTGAGCGTAGGCTCTGTTGGCTTCAGCCATCTTGTGCATTTCATACTTCTTCTTGATCAGGTTGCCTTCCTTCATGTAGGCTGCCAGCAGTTCCTGGGACAGTTTTTCATACATGTGCGTCCGCCGGTGTTTGTTTTCCCGGCACTCTGTGAGCATCCATTTCATGGCGAGGAAGCGGCGTCGGTTTTCTGTAAGAGGGATGGGAACCTGGGTGGGTTCGGAGAGAAAACATTAATAAAATGGTCAGACTTTTTATACGTTTATGCTTTGTTGGTAAAAGATCAACAGCAACAACAGAGCACAGATCTGATCTCAGACTGACCTGGTAGTACTGTCCACCTTTCTGTATGCTGGTCAGCCCAACAACAGGCTTAATGTTGTCCAGAGCCTGGTGAAAAATGGTGTACGGGTTACACTCAATCGCTTCCTTGTCCCTTTCTGGAGCTTTGTGGTATTTCTCCACCTGTTTCCTCTTTATGCTCTCCAGGGTCTGGAAGCAGAGACACAAACTGTTGTCATTTGAATACTATTAGACCAACAGCAAATCTTTGAACCTCCGAACAGTGTTTTTTTTTTTTTTTTTTTTTACCTGTGTCAAGATCTCTCTGGCCAAAACCTTGTTTCCGTGTGTCATCATCATGTTGATGAACTTACTGGGGGGAGAAAAAAAGCCATAAATGACCACCTGACGTGAACACGGCTTTAACCAAATAAGCGACACCCTCCTGCAGTGAGCTGGGGTGTGTGTTTGTTCTACCTGAGGTCTGGGTCACTGAAAACAGAGCTGGTGACTCCGTTGGTTGCGGCCTTGATGGGTCTGAGCATTCTGATCTCCCGCTCCTCCTTCTCTTTTTGACTCAGCTCTGTCTCTGGTTTGCTGTACACCTCCTTCCTGACCTCCGGCTCCAGATAGTAAGGGTTGTATCTGCTCCATCTCACCAGGAACACTCTGCGAAGAAAGGACACGCGAGAGTTAATCAGTGTGAGGATCGAAGCACTGAGAGATGAAACCATTAATCGTTTAGTCGTTCTACTGAAAATGTTTTTCTTTATTTTAAATCAGTAAATTCAGCTTGTTCGATGGTTGGTTTGGTTGGTTGGACTGAACGGGGAAGTTTTGATGAGCAAATGAATAGTGGATCGAGAATAATCAGGAGATTGATACAATATAGATATATATATAATAATGTCCATCATTGATTTAACTTTGTCTTTTAGATATTTATCAATCAAATCCAAACATTTTTGATTAAACGATTAGTCGGCCAACAATTAAACTGTCAGGTTTATGATCACTTTGAGTTGAATAACTGGGTTAGTCGAACAAAACAAGAAAAGTTGAATCGATATAAAATAAAATAAAGAATAATCGATGATGAAAATGAAGACACGTGATGTGGTCTTTAATGTAGACGCTTCAGGGACTAAACGAGGAGTAAACAGATTGAAATCGGATCAATAAAGTACAACAAGAGTTCACCTCACACTTCCTACCATACATTATCAGGTGCTGATATTTAACACAAGAGTTTCACGTTAGTTTATGATGAAAACACAAAGTTACAAACAGTGTTTCGACTCTGACTTACAGGTAAAATGCGCCTACAGCTGTAACATTAAACACATATATCTAACATCACCCGTTAGTTGTTTGTATCTTCATAAAAACCGTCATTACCTTGGCGTCCAAGGTTTTAATAATCCTGAGAGTGAAGCAGCCATCTTGAAAATGTGAATGTCAGTTAGGACCCCACGTTAGTAGCCCCCTGCAGACGCCGTCGGGGGAAAAAAATTAAACGTTTCATTTGGTTTAAGTTTAAATTAAATACCGAGATAAAATATATATATATTTATGTGTATTTTAAATATATATTTAAAGAAACGGTGTGTTTTTTTGTAGTTTTTTTCCCCCCAACTCATTCTGGACTCTCGCGCACACATTGGTGACATCACGCGATGTTTTTAGTGCTATGGCGTACCAGGAAGGGGAGTCGCTTGAATCCTGGCTCAGTGAGTGATTAATCCCATTTTATGAATGAAATAATAGAGATAATTAGGTAGATATAAAGCTCCGGGTGACAGGGCGGTAAATCCGTCTGCACAGCGCCGGTTTCCTGCTGATCCTCAGCCAGTGGAGGGTCCTGGTTGACAGCCTGCTGTCTGCAGCATTAGCAGGATGGGTGGAGAGCTGTTTAATAAACACTGTCAGGGCCACGGTTACCAGTGACAGCCCGGTGTGTGCAGTGATTGTTGATGAGCTTATCGTGGCTTAATACTTGCAGCTGTGGGACAGGAAACTGCATCGGTCTGAGTGATGAATGAGCAGCACTGCCAACACAATGGACAGCACACCAGTAAATACAAAGAGGAAGGATGATAACAAATACTGCATTGTTATGTTGGTCATAAGACTCACAGGGAGGATATATTCGCTGTAGGTTGGGATGTACGTGGCACAGATTTAATGCTCCTCAAATTGTATCTCTCTGACAGACAAAGCCACCCATCCAACAAACAGACAGGAGGACTGGGAGTACATCATAGGGTTCTGTGATCAGATCAACAAGGAACTGGAAGGGTACGTCTGGGAAATATTCATAAAAAAAAACCTGTTTTGTTTGTCACCTTAGAAAAAGATTTTAATCTGGAATTTGTTTTTGCAGTCCGCAGATCGCCGTGAATCTGCTCGTCCACAAAATCCACTCACCACAAGAATGGGAAGCTCTTCAGGCGCTGACGGTAAGACACACTTCACCATAAATGTCGAGTTCTTTCTCAACAACTAAAGCAAACACTTTCATCTTAACAATTTTGTGTGCAGGTGTTGGAGGCATGTATGAAGAACTGTGGGAGAAGGTTTCATAATGAAGTTGGAAAATACAGATTTTTGAATGAGCTGATTAAAGTTGTGTCTCCAAAGGTGAGCGGTCTCCAGAAAGGTTTATATTCCCCGCATATGAAAAGTATGTTTAACCGTGTCTCCTACTACCCAGCCTCTTTTTAAATCCCCTCTTGTTTCCAGTACATGGGCGACAGCACTCCTGAGAAGGTGAAGCTGAAGATTGTGGAGATGCTTTACAGCTGGACGGTGGCTTTTCCAAATGAAGCCAAGATCGGTGAAGCCTACCAGACGCTAAGAAGACAGGGTGTGTGGACGACGATGATTAACGCAATATGTGCGAAACGACATTTGCCTCAAAGGGAGCTTATTAATCCAATCATCACTCACTCTCTTCACCAGGCCTTGTGACACGTGACCCAGAGTTACCGCTGGACAGGACTCTGATCCCCTCTCCTCCGACACGACCTAAACATCCGGTGTTTGACAACGAGGACATGGGAAAGGTGAGAGATTGAAGGAAAACTAAATCTGTTCTGTAATTTTGTTGTTGTTTAAATAGAAAAAAGCACAGAAATCATAACTCCTCTGTAAAATAACTAATGTTTGTCACATTTCTACTGTTACAGTGTGTGTGTGTGTGTGTGTGTGTGTGTGTGTGTGTGTGTGTGTGTGTTTAGCTGCTTGCTGAGCTTCTCCGGAGTAAAAATCCAGAGGACCTCCAGGAAGCCAACAGATTAATCAAAAACATGGTGAAAGAGGTAAGACGTGTCCTCACATCCATTTCAGATTCTTCACATATGACCTGACGGTGTTTTAACGTGTATTACACGGCGTTGTCTTTGTTCAGGACGAGGCGCGAGTGCACAAGGTAACAAAGCGCATTCACACGCTGGAGGAGGTGAACATCAACGTGAAGCTGCTGACGGAGATGCTGTCCCACTACAATAAAGACAGGTCCTCTGAGTCAGATAAGGAGATCATTAAGGTGTGTGTCTGTGCACTCAAGCAAACACACACACACAAATGAGACTTTAACTTTAACCTACATGGATGAAACTCAGCTCAACAGTAACTCAACTTGAATCCAGAATGACTGCCAAAGTGAAATGCAAACTCACGCAAGTCATTTTATCTATTTTCCCCTCAGTGTAATTTGCAGTAATGCTTGATCACAACCCAACATGATTTGGGGGTTTTCAGCATTTTTCTTTGACTAAAGGTTACTGCTCCTGTTCTTGGTTCTGCTGCCGCCCGCTGACATTACATATCAATAACCATATCGATCAGCATGTTAGGTTTAAAGTGTTCGAATGCACAACAACCACTCTGTCCCCTTTCTTTGTCGCGTGCACATTTTTCATGTCCTCAGACTCACAGGAACTGTGTCAGATTTGAGCATAACTAGTTCACTATTTATAGGCACAGATAAGAGTCTTCGCTATGTCTCATATTTGCCTGAAAATATTAGAACATGACCGTGTTAGTAATTTATATAGTGTGTTTAATTGTATATTGTCTGTGGAAAGTAAAGTCATTTTATATGTTTGATACTTAATTCAATAAACTGACTTAACCACTGAAAGTCCAGCAGTTCACACCAGCTGCGGTCCAACTGTACAGCGCCTCCTTTGTGTTTCCTCTCAGGAACTCTACGAGCGCTGTGACAAGCTGAGGCGTGCTGCTTTCAAAATGGCCACTGAGACAGAGGACAATGACACCAGTTTAGGTTTGCTAGTTTGGTATTCTCTTTATTTGCTGACACATGTTGATCATTTTATTGTGTATAGTGTGTAACCTCTGACCTATGACCACTCAGGTGACATCCTGCAGGCCAGCGATGACCTCTCCAGGGTCA